TCTATCTATCTATCTATCTATCTATCTATCTATCTATCTATCTATCTATCTATCTTTCCATCTATCTATCTAAACGAATGTCTACAACTGCGATTGCAGAAAAGTAAAAATAAAATAGAATAAAATAAAATGATTTGGAATAATAATAAATGATTGGAAATAAAATAAGATAAATAGAATAAAGTAAATAAGGTAAAATAGTGAACAAATTTAAACCGAATGAATAGGGTAATCTTTTGCAAAATTATTGCTCAATCGTCAATGCCACTGCAGCAAAATAAGTCAATGAGCGATGTAGCTGACCTTTACGGATGACCGTTAGTCAGTAAATCACCACATTCCAAATGAAGCAGCCAAAGCAAACGTCCCCCTTGGGACGTGTTTGTATTTGCACTAGGTCATCATTCTCAGTTGTCACAGCGAGGGCGGCAGTAAATGACCATACGCTGCTTATGAGATCTGCCCGTTATGTGGGCATAAACGATGATAATAATTACTTGGTTGACCCTCGTGGCGGGGGTGTCTTTTTGTCATTACGAATATGAGGTGGTGACCATGGATGCTTATGATTATGGACACCATAAATTATTGAGTTGCGCTTATTCACTCTTAAAGGATTATAAGGCTTTGGGCAGTCCATCGCCAAACGCACTCTTTCTTTAATGAAGACATTGATAATCATATACTTATGAGGCTAATCCTTTTAAAAAAAATAAAACATTAAGACTCGGAAACCGAATAATATCACAAAGCTTTGTTGCCTCCAAAAATTAAAATACCATTGTGCAGTCTAAACCATTAATTTGTAGTCGAGAAGCTTACGGTGAGAAGCACTAGACATTTTTTTTTTTATTATTACGCATTACGTAGAACTCGGGTCTATGATCACTTTGTCCGAGATGACACGCGCTAATGAACGCAACCTCCCAACTTTCCACGCACACCGTAAACAAATAGTTGTTGACGCGTCTTTGGCGTGCAGGAGTGAGATTCTTCTGTAAACCACTTCGACAAATATCTAATACCTATAATTTTGCAACAAAGGGAGTGTTTCACTGGCAGTATAGTGGCAAATACCCCCGACTGCCAAGCGAGAGACTGCAGTTCGATTCCCCGCCAGGAAGATTTATTTCCATAAATATTGACAGAGAGAGTAACTGAGAAAAGTGGATCAGGAAGACGGACAGAGAGAAAACAAACAATTTTGTATAATTTAAGTCAATAAACAAGAACAAGTTTTTAAAAAATACAGTCTGCAATCTCGTCAATGCTAATTTAGTATTGTTCAATTCATAGAACGGGAATTTTGACATAATAATAATAATAATAATAATAATAATAATAATAATAATAATAATAATAATAATAATAATAATAATAATAATAATAATAACTGCATACAAATACTTTTCACCATGCTCCATCCGTTTTACAACTGTTACTACCCCTGCAGATTTTAGAACAATCAGATTATAAGTATTCTCGGCTTCCCGGGAAGCATACTTTCTTGTGTGGTTAGCCCAGCTTGTATGATTGTCCGTGGTTTTAAATGTAAATCTAAGTATATGATTTTAAAAACTGAGTTGTTTGAACAGTTGTGGTTTCCACCGGCTCCAATTGACGACCGGCATTATTTCAGATGTTTTTGTCTCTTTTTATAACGTAGGAAAAAACATGTAAAGTATAAAACAGTTTGCAGTTGTTGTGATAAGCTCTCCCCTTTTTCGCCATCCCCCCCTCTCACCCCGTCCGTATCTCTTCCATTATCTATCTATCTATCTATCTATCTATCTATCTATCTATCTATCTATCTATCTATCTATCTATCTATCTATCTATCTATCTATCTATCTT